GCCGGGGGGCCAGGCTGCGGCCGGGGGAGGCTGCCCCGGCAGCCGCTCTGCGAGCAGCTGTAAGTGGTGTGGGCAGTGTCGGATAGGGTTATACAGTCTTTTGTTGTTTCAAAAACATTTTCTTTTATTGCTCTTCTTAGTAAAGTGGTGGAAAAATTACCATCGGAATCAATTTGCGAAATACTAATTCAAATGACGCTACAATTTCCAGCAGGAAAATCTTTCACGCAAAACTGCTGCCCACATTTGTACATAAACAAGCTCTGCTTGGGTCAAACTCATTTCAAACTTGCACGGGAAGAGGCCCTGATGGCGTGATTTAACACTGGAATCTTTCATCGTGGGAGAACAGGGCACGCACTTAATCATCTCAGTAATTGAATTGATAGATATTTGCCCGCTCCAATACATAATAATAATTATTGCCGTGCCAGCGGCTTGCGCTGAACTGGCTTTGCTGTGGGGCAGTGCTGGGGCTCGGGGGGCGGGTGGGGGCCGTGTGGCAACGGTGCGTGGGGGTGCATGGGACACAGCCGGCATCTCGGGCCAGAGCAGGGAGCTAACTCGCCTCTCTGTTGCAGCCAGCCATTCCTGCGGCAAGCAGGCGAGCAGCAGCCCTGCAGCACAGCCCCAACAGCCTCCGACCTCTTCATCAGCAGGAGGGGAAGGGGTGCAAAGACCAGTCTACACGGGTAAGGGGGGATCCTGCAGCAACGGGGTTTTGTCCTGGCACTTGAATATAGATGTATGGTATTACATTTGTGCAATACTCTCTTCCTTAACCGGCTGTGAAGACCCTCACCTGCTGGCCTTGGGGTGGAAGAGGGAGCAAGCGGCCGGGCAAAGGGCAGGCGCAACAGCCGCTCCCAATTCCAGTTGCCCCCCTCTGGGCTTTCCCCACGGGCAGGGGGATGACAAGGGGAGGGATCACACTGATGCTTTTTGGATTTTCAATTTTCACTCTTGAGTGCATTTGCTTTTTCCCCCTAATTATTTTTTTCCTTTAACCCCCCCAAGTAGTGATCGAGGTGGTAATGTTTCCTGTTTTTAAGGGAGCAGCGACACGTCTTCAGAGACCTCGGAGGACTCAGACGGCAGCCCTTCCTGCCCGCAGGTGAGCGCCTTCCCAAAAAGCACCCCCAGCCGCAGCAGCAGAGGTGCCGGCGCCGCGTCCGCACGGCCTCTGCCCGGCTTGAGACCCAAAGAGTAGCAATGGGGGGGCAAATGCATCGAACCCTACTGCAATACCGGCAGTGAGGCTGGGGTGATGGTTGTCACCTGCCAGACGTAATGTTCCCCGTTTAGAGGGGAGCATTCCCAGGGGCCAGGGAGATCCCAGGGCACAACCCGGGCACCTTGAACGGCTGCACGCCTTCGTGTGGGTTCAAGGGCAAAGCCGCCCCGGGTGGATGCTGGTGCCTGACCTGGGGTTCGTGTCTGCTTCTCCAGGGCCCTCGCTCAGAAGAAAACCTCAATTACACATCCCTTGTCTTCCCGGGGAAAGGCTGTGGGCCAGGCTCTCCTGGGGACTACGAGAACATGAAGACTAGGGCGGACTACGTCAACGTGGACCCAAAGAAGAGGAATGTGGATTTCTGGCCCTGCTCCAGCCCCGTGGCATCCAAGTCCATCGAGTACACCGAGGTGAAGCTGTGACTCCCAGGATGCTGCTTGGCGGGGTTTCGGGTCAGACCGCCACCGGGATGGGGAGATGCCCGAAGCCCCTGGCAGCCGCGCGAGCAGGGCTTCCCCTTCCCCTCGCCTCGGTCAGCGCCTGGCACGGGCTGTCGCCTGCCAGCTTTTATTCCTTGTAACACTCTAACCCGCCGATACAATTTGCTTGGTATTTTACTTAAATGCATCACTGTTCCTGAAGGCTGCTGAGCGTGGGATGGCACGGGGAAACGTTCCTCCTACCCAGGCTGAAATGTGCTCTCCAGTTTTGTGTGATGGCCCTTTCTCTCATTTCATGAAAGCAAATGAAACATCCCCCCTGCCCCTCAAAATGGGATGTAGTTCAGGGAAGGGAAATGCAGTTGTCTTCAAAATACCCATCCGAACTGGCTGGCAACTCCTCTGAACCATGCTTTCTTTGCTGATCGCTGTCATAAAATCCTTTTAAATACCTTTCCTCCGCCGGCTTTGTCCTCGCTGCCCGACAAGCCCTGGTTCATTGCCCTCCCCTGCACCCCTTTTCCTCTGAAGCTCAAAATCTTTCCAAGTCTCGGTTGCCCTCAGAGCTGTCGCTGGGGCTGGGGTGGCCGCACGGGCAGCTTGACCCCCTGGCCGGGCATCGGGGGGATGCCAGGGCTGGGGAAGGAGGGTGGCCCCGCCAGGAAGTTTCCTCCCCCAGCTGAAAGCCGTAGTCGTCAGCCCAGCTGGCAAACGGCTGAGGGCTTCCCGGGGGATTTATATCCCCCCTCCTCAGCTGGAGGATCTGGGCTGGCTGCTGGTCCCTCTGGGCTGTGAGGGGCACAGGATTGGACCACAGGTCTCCGTGTGAGCATAGGCAAGTCAAATCCCTCTGTGTCTCGTGGGGAGGGATGAGATTCCCTGTCTCCCACCTTTTGCTTTTCCTGCTTTGTCCCTGCACCAAATGCCTTGGGTGCAGGAGTTGGCCTCTCCCCAGCCAAGTGGTGCCTGCACCCAGCAGAGCTTTGGGGGGGGGTGGGGTGTGTCAGTGCCCTGGGCTGGGGCAAATGCCACTGCCCCCCCGTGGTCTGACACCACATTTCACATTTTCCTTAAGTATTGGTTTAATTCCCAGGGGACTTGGAGTAGCGCACTGCAATTTTCTCTAACAAAACTGAGTTGGGGGCTTTTCAGCTTGCAGAGATAAGCTTGGGATTGTGAACTGAATGTGCTGGGAAGGCTGTTAAATTCTCAGAGGTGCTGCTTCCCCTGCTTGTCAGTGATTATGTTTGTCAGGTCACCTTCATGCTCCTCAGGTCTCGGAGAGTCAGTGCCTGGCCAGCCCTGCCTGCGGCTGGGGCTCGCTGTCCTCGCTCTGCTGCAGCAAATCGTGGCTGCAAACGGGGACCAGTTCCCTCCCATCACTCTGCACTTTGTTACCTATGATTTTTCAAGAAATAAACTTTCAAAGTGCTGGGGAAGGGGAACCATGCAATAGCTGGGAGCTCTGCTAGGCTGATGGAGCCGCTGCCTCCTGGTACGGCCCCCCTTCATCAGGGATGGAGCTGCCCCAAGCGCATTTCAAATCAGCTCAGCAGCAATGTGCTTTAATGAAAGGTTGTGAGACGATTGATTTGGTATTGATCCTGGGGAGCACTCTGAGGTCGGGCACTCCTGGTTTTATGACTTTGTGCAGATCTGGCCCAATTTGAAGGGCACATGAAGGAAAATGTTCAAAAAAACCAATCTCTGGGAAACATTGCTAAAGGCCAGGAGAGGTGTGTTTATGGAACTGGAGATGAGATCAAAACCAGCTAGTGGGAGTTTCTGGAAAAACTGATTCAAATGCTTGGTGATTAAAAGGTGAAAATAATTTAAGATTTCAACATACTTTACTCTTAATGTCTTATTTCTACAGATTTAGCATGTGATAACAGAGAGGATAACATACCTTGCTTGCAGGGAATTCGGTGCCTTGCTCTCTAGGCTACTTGTACATTCTCCATCAGCAGCTTTTGAGCTTGACTCCCAGAGCAAATGGATGCTCTTGCCTGCCTCACTCATACTTTCTTCTTAAACAAAACAGCTTCTGGGACACCCACAACATGCAGGGAGAGGGGCAGGGGCCAGGCTGGGACTGCAAGGCCATGGCTTGTTCCTGGCTGCCGGCTGCCCCTCCTCTGTGCTTCCAAGTGCCCTGAAGCCATGTCCGAGCCCTGGGTGGTTTCAGCACTCTGATCTCTGCTAAATAAGACAAAAGCAGCAGCAATTTGAGAGCAGCTCTTTAATGGGATGCAGCAGCTGTTGAACAGCGCGGAGCAGCCCTGCACAGCGACCAGGGGCTGTGAGTAAACCTGATGGAAAGTGCCAGGGCACGGAGGGAGGCAGGATCTGCCTGGGCAAGCTGGAGCTGGGCCGAGGTTCCTCCGAGCAGCCCTTTGGTGTCAGTGCTGCATTTTGGATGCTTGCACCAGCGCAGTGCAATGCCACTGTGCGGTAGCGGGACAGCTGTGCACAACAGGAGAGGACATTTCTGCCCCGTGGCTTTTGCTGCAGCCCTGTCCCCGGGGAGGTGGGCAGGGGGTCTGGCTCCAGAGCTGCCTGTCAGCAAAGGGCAATGCTCTGCAGCGCAGGGGGGAGAGCGTGCTGTGCCCCCGGGGTGTGGGAAAGCTGTGTCTGCTTTTGCTGCTCTGCCAGCAAAGCCCTGAGGATGGGAGATGAGTAACTTGCTTGCGGGGAGCTCTTGAGCAGATGTAGCCACGTTGCCTCCTGCTGTGCTCAGGCTGCTTTGCTGGCATTTGTTAAACACCCAAAGCTGGAGTCCCTCCAGGAAGACACGCTGGTGCAGCGTGCAGCATCCCCCAGCGGATACCT